CCTCCCTCCCCCCTCCCTCCCTACCTCCCTCCCTTTCGTCCCTTCTCCTGTTTGTGAATTTCATCTTGCTCTCCACTGTAGAGAAAGTGAGAGAGAGAGAGAGCTGGCTTTTTTCGGAGAACCTTCCACGGTAGGTCAGTCCTACTCAATGCCTGCTTTGGAGACCTCACCTTGGAAGCCCGTCTACTCTAGGCCTCTTGAGTGAATGCTTCTTGCTCTCTGCTGGGCCTGTGTCCTCTCAACTACCAGCCTGCCTGGCCCAGGGGAGTCCTCTATTTTTACCTACTCTGGAAGGGGTGTGGTCCCTCCCACTGCCAAACCCCGTGGCTTTTCTCAGTCTCTCCCGGGCCTCCAACTTCTTCTGTGGCTCAGCTCTCCTTGTCCCGCTTGGCCCGTGACACACACGTGGCCCTGGGCAGCTCCGTTCCTGACTGAATGAACTGCTGTGTCTCTCCACAGCCCTGTCCCCTCAGGTCTTTCCCGTCCTCCACCGTAGACATCCTGCCCCTCTGCCCCCTTCACTGTTTGTCTCTCTCTTATCCCATGGTTCCTACAGAGGGACTTCCCAGGTAAGCTCTTTCCTTCTCAATTCTCACGGCAAGTATGGTCTGGGGGTCCAGCTCTGCTTGCTCTGTAACACTGACTAGAACTGGGAGTGAGCGATGCTTTTTCTCCCTGGGAGTGAGGCTGCTGTTACAGGTGCTCCGTGTTTGCCACACATCCTTCTGCAGCTCTTCCAGAGGTTGTAAGCATGTGTGGATAAGGACGCAGTTAGATGGATAGACAGACAGACAATCATGATAAATATGGAGTTGGTGCTTGACTTAGGTGTGCTGATACTTCAGTCCATAGGTAGATAGATGGGCACACAGACAAGTGGTCAGACAGATGTCTTCGGAGAATACATCCAGTCAGAGCAGCTGACCCACTCTATGACCCTGACAACTTCAGTTGCTTATGTCAGCCTTGTCAGCCTTGGCCTCTAGGCGTTATTATTTATGAAAGCAAGATCATGCATAAAAAGGAAAAAGCATATTTGGAAAAACAATTTATGTTCCCTTAACTCATTGAGTAAATATTTGCTGAGGAACCTGAGCCTGGCACAAAGCAGCTAACTTGAGGCAGACAAAGAGCCCTTCTTACGGGCTTTTCGCCACCACGGAGCACACAGGTCATTAAATGCTGAACAACAAACAGCAGATTAAATTCAAATACTACCTGTATGAAGAAAACAGAAAAGAGAAACTTGATAGAGCATGGGTCTCGTTGGGGGCGAGGAAAGTGACTCTGGGTGGGGAGGTATAGCTGGCCTGTCTGAGGAGTTAGCCTTGAGCCAAGATCTGAAGAGGAGGCTGCTCCTGTGAGGGTCTGGACAGACAGTGGCGAGCAGTGGCCCCGAGACGGACCAGATTTTGTGTGCTGGGGAACAACAATCCAAACCTACGGGCGGTGGACAAATAGGAAAGCCGCCCTGGTGGGATCGGAGAGTGTGGATTCAGAGATGCCAACTGCATATGCAGGAAAGAAATGCATCGCAGGAATGAAAGGTAAAACAAAAAAATAGAGAAATACAGTAATCATGTCTACAAATGCTGTACACCCGGAGGTTTCAGGAAATCCTGAACAAAACTGCAAGCTCCCTGAGAGCAGGTGTGTGGACAGCTCTGGGCTTGCTGTCCTCACCTCAGCACGATGCCAGCACAGAAGGACGACATTTAATAACTGTTGGATGAATCATAATGTGAAGGGAATGAATGACATCCAGGTTCGACACCTCACATTTTTATTATTTCTCCACTTGGTTCTCTGACATTGTACTAGAATTTACTCTGACTTTTTGCCTGTCTCAAATTGTTATTCCATCTTCACTTAAGAACAATATTACCAGAGTGGATGAAATACGACAAAATGTTCAGAAGTTATTAAGGTGTTTAGTAAGAGGCAAGAGCTAATTCCAGCACTTGGGAGGCAGAGGCAGGGGATCTCTGTGAGTTCAGGCCAGGTCCACATAGTGTGTTCCAGAACAGCTAGGGCCACATAGTGAGACCCTGTCTAGGGGAAGAAGAGGAGGAGGGAGAGGAGGAGGAGGGAGAGGAGGAGGGGGAGAGGAGGAGGAGGCCGCAGGAAGAGAGCAGAGGAGGAGAATAGCAACAGCACTCACGTATTTACATATCGATTTTGAAAGGCGTGTGGGTTCTGCCGTTAAACCTATTCTCTCGGTGTCCACCCTGTGCCTGTGTCTTTGGGGCTAATGCCTGTGTGCTTCCTTAGATGACTTCTTTAGGATCCAGAGTATTAGGAAATGCATAAATAATATAAATAGCCTTTAACCAGAGAGAGGCTTTAGTTTTAAATTTGAAATTGCTTTCTAAATCAGTTAAAGGTAGGGTCAGTTGTTTTACTGGAAAACCCCAGAAACACAGCGGAGGTTAACAATGGTTCTGAAGCTCCCTGGAGTGTGTTCATTTTAATAAACCTCCCGACATGCTTGGTGCCCAGCTGACTTTTGAGACCTCTGCAGAGTTGCTTCTGTGTGAGAAGTCACAAAGCAGGAATTGTCATTCACACGAGACAAATGGTTTTATTTTTAAAAGTCGCATGCTGTTAGACTGCTTTCATGGAAAGGTGTCTAGGCACATTCAGAAGTTATCTGATTCACTCTGAGCATGTGCGGAAATTGAAAGGCTCTCTGTCACTTGCCTGAATGCACATGGTCTAACTAGTTTTCCTGAAGAAGGAAGCGTGCGTTTGTATGATTAGAAGGGGGTTGGGAAGTGCTGTGTGGAAGCAGGGCCTCACATTGTTGCGTGTCTAGCTCAGAGGTCTGTCGGTTATTTACCTGCTCCATCTGCTCTCTGCATCGTTAGCTCCTGCTGAAGCTAGAAAGAACTTTCAGTGCTTGACATGTGGATGAACGTTCAGTGGGTGAAGTCATCCCTTGTCCTCCTCAGACTTCTCTCCACATTTACACCCCGTTCCTTGTGGGTAAACTTCTGAGAGAGTTGCTCTCCTGCTTGCCTGCTGCCCATGGAGCTGGGACATGGTTGGGTTTGCAAGATGAAAGAAACAAACGGATGCTTATCAGTTCCAAGGCCTTCCATGCTCCCCGCCCCCTCTGTGGTTAAAGTTCAACCACTTGGATTTTGAGTGTGGTGCAGCCAGGCTAAGATGGATGCCATCGGGCATTGCCAGCTGCTTTCCATGGGGTTAATCAGCAGGAGAAGGAAGCAGGTGCTGAGCGGAGCGTTGGGTGCTGACCCGAGCACAGCGTCCTGCCTGCTCCAATGACTGGAGATCCAGCGCTGGGCTGCACAGAAGACAGACTCCTGGCTTTCCCTTTTATGGGTTCAGGATGCCTTGAATCTCAGCCACACTGGCCTTCTGTGGAGACCCTTTCTATTTTAAGAGCACTGAGTCTAAATGTCTCCCCATGGAACTCAATTGGCTCTTAAGGACCTTGTGTCCTGGGTGACTGACTTTTATAGCTCCTCCAAGGACGATTGAGTCCATTGGAGTACATTGCCAGTGAGCATCTCATTGGCTGCAGATGACCAGGCTGCTTAAGTGTAAATACTCATGATCTATTGCTCTAGCTCTCTTAGACTTGGAGCTGACAGACCATAATCAGCGTTTCTTTCTACCTATCACATAGACCCACAGTGAATGACGGGCATGTAAGTCAGTGAGTCAGCCATCAACAAAGCCCAGTCATGTAGGAAATATCTACCTGAACATTAGTTTCTCTTCTATTAGGTAGACCTTTTGATGGAGTGGGAACAAAACCAGTCAGGATTGAGGTACCCAGGATTACAGTCAGCACCAGGAAGATCTCTGTGAAGTGCACAGCCAGAATTAGGGACAACCACACGGTTCAACAGAGTGAACATCTAATTTGCGGACACAAAACTGCATTCTGGCCAAGATCATCACATTGCCAGCAGTAAAAGAAGTCAAGTGTCCCTGGGAAAGGACACCTCTTTCCTGATCTGCAGATCAATGGTCAATGGAGCTATTGTAATCTTTAAGGCACCGGCACGTCATCCCTTACCTCACCTCACCCCGTCTTCTGTGGTTACAGGGCCCACAGCGTGTGTGTTTGTGCTCCCACAGCCTCAGAAACTCAAGACTTTGGAGAACACTGGCTGCTCGAACGAATGTTAAATAAAATTTCTCGGCCGTTTACGGACTCTCCAAGCGTTTTCTGTTACTGTGACTGTTCAGGACAACATGCCCTGGAAGCATCCTGTCTACCATAGCCTTTCTTAGGAGTCCCCACCACTCAGGCATTTGTATCTTCAGCTGGTCCCCCGCACCCCCTTCCTTAGAAGTCATGAGGCTCCTGCTCAAGCCTGTGTTCCTGTGGCTCATATTTCACTAGGCTAAGGACTTCATGCTGTGTGCCTGGGGCTCCGCTCATACCTCTCTTGGACTGCTGTATGATGGTCATTGCTGAGTGTCTCTGCCCCGGGGCCCCCCCCCGTACCCCCCATTGTTAGCTCTATGAGGTAGACTTGGCTTCTGTCCAAACATAGATTTCGATCTATCGTGTGTTTCCACGGATTCTTATAGATGGAATAAATGAACGGAAAGAATAAATGAGTGGAATGAATATATGTTAAAGTATCTTTTGCTGTATTTTAAGATATATAACATGATCTTACGGGGTCCGTATAAAGAATAAGGTAAGGAAATCAACATATTTATTTCCTTATACAGTTATCGTTCCCCTTTGTGCGTGCGTGTGTGTGTGTGTGTGTGTGTGTGTCTGTATGTATGTATGTATGTATGTATGTATGTGTCTGTGTGTGTGCACATGAGTGTGCGTGGGCCATTTTGTGTGTGCCTGTGTTTGTGTGTAAAGGAGCTAAAATTTATTCATTCTTGTTGGGCATGGTGGCTGCTCATACCTGTAATCCCAGCTCTAGAGAGGCTTAATCGAGAGGATCACTCCAAGTTTAACACCCGCCTGGTCTAAACAGTGAGTCCCAAGTTCTAAGTGACCTTGGGTTACAGAGGAGGACCCTGTCTCAAAACCAAAGAAACAGGGAAACGCAAATCCAATGTCCCTCAAGGCACCTGCCCATTAGCTCTCTCTAGATCTTTTCTCTCGATGAGACAGAAAAGGTCTAGAGTACTTGTTTTTTTAGGTGGTGGCTGGGAAGGCCCAGCCTGTGGCACAGCAGGCCGTTGTTGTAATTAGCACATTATTGAAACTTGTCACCTGTCCTGGTGACTTACTAATGCACCTAAGATTACAAGGAGGAGGCCACAGACAAAAAGATAGGATGTGTAAAGAGGTGGAGCACTGGAAATTAGATGCCAGCTGGTGTAAATTACACAAGCCCGTGAGGCTTCAAACAGCAGTGATGCTAAGAAGAAGTCTAAGGCCTTGGTCGTCTTGCAGGACAACCCTAGGCAGGGCACAAGATGTCTAGGTTTGAAGTCCAGCAAAAGGCCAGGGGAGAAAACTTTTGAAAAGTTGTGTTATGTTATGCATAACAATTTATGTGCCTTGTGTAGCCCTGCTGAGAATCCCCTTAAAACCAGTGTGTCACCATGACCAGAAGAATACTTGAGGAAACAGCTTCCTGGGAGAGAGAGAGGGTTTGGTTTCTCTCTCTTCTCTGAGTTTCGGAAGGACGGCTTCAGTCCGTTGTGGCTGGGAGGCATCATGTGACAGGTGACATCATGGCAGGAGCATGTGACGGGCTGTTCACATCAGCGTGGCCCGGGAGGCAGAGAGCATGCCAAGAGCCAGGGGCTGGCTACAACCTTCAAAGCATAGAGACCAATCCAAACTGTGACAAACGGCATCTTTTGACTGTGACCCGTTGTGTGGAATGAGGTCATTTCAGCCTGTTTAGCTCGTCATTCACACCCACGCCCTGTCTCTATCAGCCCTTCACAGTAAAACTTCGTCTACTTGTTCTGTCAATCACATGGAACCCTTAAGCACTGACTAGGGTTTCTAGCCTGTTGGGCTCACGGCATGCCTATTGCTTATTGTTTTTTGTTTGAAGGTTTCTACTGTCTTTCTTACATGCTGTAAGATGAGGATTTCTCTCTCTCTCTCTCTCTCTCTCTCTCTCTCTCTCTCTCTCTCTCTCTCTCTCAGGTTTGTGCCACCTCTTCCAGCTAACTGGAGGCTGGCCATGCTGCAGTTACTTCATTTAATCCCCTTTCATTTCCGGCCTTCGGCGAACAGTGAAAGCTAAAAACGTTGAGTGCCTTGTCTCAGGTCCCTTAACTGGTTAATGCTGGAGCAGGGGCTGAAGCCATGGCTTCTGACTCTCAATCTGGTGTGCTTGCTGCAAGTGAGTGTCCTTTGCTAGGCATTGTATTAGGTGCCAGTAATATTAAATAATAAATTATTCCAGACCCCCTGCTTCACAGTTAAGGAAGGAAGTTTTATATAAACAGAACCAGGTTTCAGTGCTATTGCATTACAAAAGTAGTAGTTTTCCTGATTTAACCTTTAATTTTTTTTATCTTGCAGATCAGGGCTAGGGAAAGTTATGCTATTAGAAGTGATAACTTTTAAAATCAATTAGCTAATTTAATTTGTATGTGTGTGCCTGGGTATGCATGCCATGTGTACACAGGAGACTGGGATTACAGGTGTGTGCCACACTTCCGGCTAATAAGAGGCCAGAAGATGGTGTCAGATCCTCTAGAACTGTAGTTACAACAATCGTGAGCCATCACGGGGGTCCTGGGAACCAAACCCAGGTCCCCTGCAAGAGCAGCCAGTGTTCTTAACTGCTGGGCCATCTCTCCAGCTCCAGCTGAGAAAACAGTGTGCTACCTAACTCATTTATGGCTAGGAGAGTAAGGCTTTGCTGACCAACTTTCTTTCTTTCTTTTTGCTTTTTTTTTCCCCTGGAGCTGGGGACCAAACCCAGGGCCTTGTGCTTGCTAGGCAAGCGCTCTACCACTGAGCTACATTCCCAACCCCATCTGACCAACTTTCTAAAAGGTCATTTAAACTATTTCAAGGTCAACTATGGAAGCAAATTATTTAGAAGTTTATGGTCAGTGTATTAATTAATTAATTAGTTTGTTTGTTTGTTTATTTTGATACAGGGTTTCTCTGTGTAGCCCTGGCTGTCCTGGAACTCACTCTGGAGACCAGGCTGGCCTTGAACCCAGAGAACCACCTGCGTCTGCCTCCCAGTGCTAGGATTAAAAGTGTGCCCCACCACCACCTGGTTTCTTGTTCTTTTAATTTTTTTCTTTTTAAGATTTATTTATTCATATATTTTATATGTACACCAGAATAAGGAATCTGATCCCATCACAGATGGTTGTGAGCCGCCATGTGGTTGCTGGGAATTGAACTCAGGACCTCTGGGAGGGCAATTGATGCTCTTACTGCTTAGCCATCTCTCCAGCCCTGTTCTTTTAATTTTTAAGATTACCTTTCTTGCTCAGCACACCTTTAATCCCAGCACTGGGAGGCAGAGGCAGGTGGAACTCTGAGTTTGAGACCAGCCTGGTCTACAGAGAGTTTCAAGACAGCCAAGGCTATACAGGGAAACCCTGTCTTGGGAAAAGAAGTTTATAGCCATGTGATACATACATTTGCGCATTCAGCAGGTTTCTGTGGGGAAGTATTGGGTATCTGTCACGTGTCCTGATGGTTTCCTCTAGGACGTGGCTTTGCACATCTGCCCATGTCTCTCAGGAGCTCCTCTGTATGGCAGTTTGTGAACTTCTTGTTTTTCTCCCTCCTTCAGATTTTCATCACCGTGAACTGCTTGAGTACAGATTTCTCCTCCCAAAAGGGCGTGAAAGGCCTTCCTCTGATGATTCAGATCGACACATACAGTTACAATAACCGCAGCAATAAACCCATCCACAGAGCGTACTGCCAGATCAAGGTCTTCTGCGACAAGGTGAGCGCAGTTTGTCAGAAAGGTACTGTTGTCACGACTAGATGTTGTTTTTGATGACATTCCTCTCGTCACTTTTTCTTGTCTGGTGGTGTCTAAAGAATCGTTTCTCAAACACGTGGATGTTGTGGTCTTTCACTCCCGAGTCCTGTTAGACATCTAAGGAGTCACCAGCCCTCTGCCCTGATTCGGCTGCTGGTCTTCTCAGCCTACCATTCCGCCATTGCCCTACGGCTCAGTTCTCAGGTCGCTAAAACCCAACACCACAGCCTGGGTGGGGAGAGCAGTAGGAAGAAGCTTACTCTTCACAGCTCCGGGGGTTTGAAGCCTAAGACCCAGGCGTTCAGTCCCTGTGAGCGTCGTCTTACTGGCTGCCACCTTCCTACCTTGTCCTCACATGGGACAGAGAGAAGAGCTCTCCTGTGAGTCTTTGTTAGAATCATCAAGGACGAGCCTCATGATGTCACCAGTGGAAAAGGCTTCACCTCCGACAGGAGCTGTCTGCGGGTGGAACGGGAGGAGCTCACGTTCAGTTTGTGGCATGCTGTGCTCTGGTCTGAATACACAGCTGAAATGACAGATCCAGAACTTTCCCAGAGTGTAGCTGCTGTTCTAGAATTTACCAGTGTAATCTTCGACATTTGATGTGTTGCATGGGCCCTCACCTAGAATTTTTGGAAACAGAAATCACACCTGCAAGATAAATCCATCAGTTCTTATGCACTCAGCACAGTGCTTTCATCTCCATGATCGCACTATAAAAGAGACCGAAGAGTTAAAATGATACAGTTTAAACTCGGAAGGTTGGATACAAGAAGATTGTCACAAGCGTAAGGACGAGTGTGGTGTAGTGAGGACCATTTGAAGACCTGTGTGACACCAGCTTCTGTGGGGGAGAGTGATGATGGAGCTGCTTCACCAAAGAGCGGTTGCCCAGGCACTCTGCAAAGCACCGAAGGGTGAGACCAGGCCGAGTGGGTGTGTGCAAACAGACTGAACGTGGTGGTGTTGTTTGCCATGAGAAGTTACAGTGAGTGAAGTTGTGTTCCAGGGAGAAACCGTGGTCTCAGAAATCTGGTGAGAGTAAAATCAACTCCTGGAGAGAGAGCACGGAGGTAGCCAGGAGAGAGATGCTCAGAAGAAAACTGAAAATGGGAAGGGACAGTCTCCAGTAGGTTTTTTTTTTTTTTTTTTTTTTTTTTTTTCTACTTGACACAAGATGGAGTTTTCTGGGAAGAGAAACCCCAATTAAGAAAATCCCTCCAGCAAATTGGCCTGTGTGCAAGTCTGTGGGGCATTTTCTTGATAGATGGTTGATGTGGAAGGGCCCAGCCTACCACGGCTGGTGCTACCCCTGGGCAGGTGGTTCTGGGGTGTGTAAGAAAGCAGAGTGAGCAAGCTCCTCCATGGCCTCTGCTTCAGTTCCTGCTTCCTGGTTCCTGCCTTGA